ATATCCACGTATCCTCTGGGTAGCAACCAAACACCTGTTTGGGAGCGAGCTAAAGTGAGAAGGCGTAAAACTTCGCGTGCGCTGGGTTTGGGTCCCGCCACGTTAAAATCCCGCGCAATGAAAAGAAAAAAACAGCCTCGGATGAGACCCCCTTTTCCTGATGACCACGGAAAACGTATAAAGGACTATGATTTAAGGGTATGCACCTGGAATATCCGGACTCTTAATTGGGAAGGTTCCTGTGCCCGGCTGGTTGATGTCCTCAGGAAGACAAAGGCTGACATCACCGCCATCCAAGAAATGCGATGGACGGGGCAAGGAAATGTAAGCGTGAAGCCTTGCGACGTCTACTACAGTTGCCACGTAAAGGAGCGCAAATTCGGTGTTGGATTCGTGGTAGGAGAGAGACTCCGTCGCCGAGTACTGGCGTTCACCCCGGTGGACGAACGTCTAGCCACAATCCGCATCAAAGCTAGATTCTTCAACATCTCGCTCATCTGCGCCCATTCCCCAACGGAAGAGAAGGATGAGGCGTCCAAGGATCTCTTCTATGAGCGCTTGGAACATACGTATGAGCGCTGCCCCCGACACGATGTCGAAATCGTGCTTGGCGATTTTAATACCAAGGTGGGCAAGGAAGGGATCTTTGGCGCCACTGTCGGAAAATTCAGCCTCCACGACGAAACGTCCGATAACGGACTGAGGCTGATCGACTTCGCCGTGGCCCGAAATATGGTAATATTTAGTACTAGGCCCCAGCATAAGAACATCCACCAAGCTACATGGCTGTCTCCAGATCGAAAAACGAGAAACCAAATCGATCATGTTGTGATAGACGGAAGGCATGCTTCAAGCGTTTTGGACGTACGTACACTCCGAGGGCCAAACATCGACTCGGACCACTATCTTGTTGTAGCCAAGATACGCACCCGCCTCTGTGCAGCAAAAAATGTGCGCCCAACAATGCAAGGTAAGCTTAACGTCGAAAAGCTGCAATCACAACAGACGGCCAATTTATTCGCCACTCGACTCACACACCTGCTCTCTGAGAGCACTCTTCAACGATCCGACATACGCGAGCAGTGGAACCGCATTTCCCGATAATTAAGTACCGCCGCCGAAGAAGTAGCTGGATTTCAGCGAACCCGAAAGACCAACTAGTACGATGAGGAATGTCAAGAAGCCGCAGATAAAAAAGATGCGACCTACAGGGCCACGCTGCGATCGGGCGCAACGCGAGCCATGTGGGACCGTTATAGGGAACTGAAGAAGGAAGCGAGACGTATTTGCCGCAATAAGAAGAGAGAGGCCGAAATACGAGAGTGCGAAGAGCTTGAGATGCTGGCCGACAGGAAGAACGCCCGAAAATTCTACCAGAGGGTTAGGCGACTTACGGAAGGTTTCAAGACCGGGGCGAACTCCTGTAAGAACAACAATGGCGACCTAGTGACCGATGTCCAGAATATACTTAAATTGTGGAGGGAACACTTTTATAACCTACTGAATGGTAGCAGCGCTGAAAGTAGTGAGGAAGACGAACCCGAGTCCCCAGTCGATGATGATGGAGTAGCTGTCCCACCGCCTGACTATGACGAGGTACGAATAGCGATTACGCGGCTGAAAAACAACAAAGCTGCTGGAGCTGACGGCCTGCCAGCCGAGCTATTCAAGTACGGCGGCGAGGAGCTGATGAGGTGCATGCATCAGCTCGAATGCAGAATATGGTCAGATGAACGCATGACCGACGACTGGAATTTAAGTGTGCTCTGCCCAATCCGCAAGAAAGGCGACCCCGCCATACGCGCCAACTACCGCGGAATCAGCCTTCTAAGCATAGGTTACAAGGTCTTATCGAGCGTATTGTGCGAAAGACTGAAGCCCACCGTCAACGAGCTGATCGGACCTTATCAGTGTGGCTTTAGGCCTGGAAAATCCACCATAGATCAGGTATTCACAATGCGCCAAATTTTGGAAAAGACCCGCGAGAATAGGATCGACACACCATCTATTTGTCGATTTCAAAGCCGCTTTCGACAGCACGAAGAGAAGTTGCCTTTATGCCGCTATGTCTGAATTTGATATCCCCGCGAAACTAATACGGCTGTGTAAAATGACGTTGAGCAATACCACCAGCGCCGTCAGAATAGGGAAGGACCTCTCCGAGCCGTTTGATACCAAACGAGGATTCAGACAAGGGAGTCCCTTTCGTGTGATTTCTTTAATCTGATTTTGGAGAAGATAATAAGAGCCGAATAACTGAACCGCTCAGGCAAAATACTTTATAAGAGCGTACAATTGCTGGCGTATGCCGACGACATCGATATTATCGGTAAAAACAAGGGCTACGTCTGTTCTGCCTTCTCGGGATTGGATAGAGAAGCAAAGCGAATGGGTCTGGTGGTGAACGAGGACAAAACGAAGTATCTCCTGTCATCACGCAAACAGTCAAGAGCATACGCGTCTTGGCACCCACGTCACTGTTGACAGTTACAAGTTTGAAAAAGTAGACAACTTCGTTTATTTGGGAACCAGCATTACCACCAATAATAATGTCAGCCTTGAAATCCATCGGAGACTCACTCTTGCCAACAAGTGCTACTTTGGGCTGAGTATGCAATTGAGAAATAAAGTCCCCTCTCGTCGTACAAAGATCACACTCTATAAGTCACTCATCATGCCTGTGGTGGTGTATGGCGCGGAGGCATGGACAATGAAAGCATCTGATGAGGCGGCTCTTGGAGTTTTCGAGAGAAAGATTCTGCGAAAAATTTACGGACCTTTACGCGTTGGTGATGGCGAATATCGCAGACGATTTAACGATGAGCTGTATGAGCTTTACAACGATATAGACATAGTGCAGCGAATTAAAATTCAGCGGCTCCGCTGGCTTGGCCATGTCGTTCGAATGGAGAGAAACGCTCCTGCTCTGAAAATATTCAACGCGGGTAGGGATGCGAATTTTCAGAGCCAACATCGATACATCGATATTTCGATGTATCGTAAACACTAACATCGATGCCGAAAAAAATCGCCCCAAAACTATCGATACATCGATATTTTCCGATGTTTCTCTTTTTTAATAAGTATGTTACAGGTACTTCATGATTTGCAGGTTTTTACAGGAAGCTCTTAACGTACGCCACCTTCCATAAGGTTTATTAATGGCGAAAGCCGCTTTACCTGTAAAACCTGCAAATCCTGAAATACCTGGAACTGACTTAATGCTTGCTAAAATTGTAAGAAAAACCTAGTGTCCATCTAAACTGCTACACTGTTAACATTTCAATGGGTGGTTTCTTGAATTTAATTACATTTCCTTCCAATGTCATAATAGATTTGCTGTTTACGAGCAGATAATACTTACACTCACCTTAAGTCGTGTTGAAATACTGTAACTACGTCATGGAAATCGCCTATGTTCAACGTTGCCAATTGTTTTTATAAAGTGCAGGGCTGCCATCACCCGTAATACGCTTACCCAAAGGGCTCTGTCCCACGGTCAGTAATTATCACGATATTTGGATCGCGATCCATATTGATGGATCGCGCACGAATGCTACATGTTCAATATTTAGCGCGTCAGTATTTCCATATTTTTTTTTGCTGAACGCTTATTATGACGCAAGAAAATATTTTTATTTTGTACATATAATTTACAGATAATGCATTTATTATTTATGACAATTATTTTAAGATTTGTTCAATTTGTTTTGAAAGATTTTAAGCCCCGAGAGTGAAGGCAGAGCCGATGTTTACATTATGAGAGTAAAAGATGTACTAAAGAAATGTATGGATCGCGTTTTGAAAGTGCTACACGTTCAATATTTATTTACGGTATTGCGATCCGCGATCCAGATTTCAAAATTTTTAGAAATTTTGCGATATGGATCACGATCCATCAATACTGCATACTACACCGTCAATAAATACCGCGATACTTGGATCACGTCAATAAATAGTGACCGTGTGACAGAGCCCAAAGAATATAACATAAAGATGTGAACGCAATGGCAATTTTGAACCGAAACTAAAGTCGATGTTTTAAACATCGTTAAAATTGACATCGATATATCGCCAATTTTACGATGTTGAGTAATTTTCAAATATCGATGGTAAACATCGGTTTTTTGGCCGATGTTATCGATGTTTCAGAAACATCGATGCATCGTTTGCATCCCTAAACGCGGGCCGCGATGCTGGTAACAGAGGAAGAGGAAGGCCTCCTCTGCGTTGGAAAGACCAGGTGGAGAAGGACTTGGCTTCACTTGGCATTTCCAATTGGCGTCAGTTAGCACAGAAGAGAAATGACTAGCGTGCTGTTTTGGACTCGGCCAAAATCGCTTAGGCGGTTACAGCGCCAATTAAGAAGAAGAAGAAGATGCATGATATAGAAGTTTATTCTAAATCATATGTGACCTGGTCTACGAAAAGGGAGCTTACGTGCGAAAACTAGTTTTCTGTGGAAAAGCTGTTAAAAGAGCAACTCGTTTCGTGAAAAGCTGTTAAAAGTAAGCAACTCGTTTCGTCAGTTTCTCATTATCTCGTTAATTGTTCTCCGCGCCGGACGTCCAGTAAGTGTTGTTGTTGGTCCAGTAAGTGTTGTTGTTGGTCCAGTAAGTGTTGTTGTTGGTCGGAATATTATTATAGTTCATCGTGTAAGTTGCTAGTGTGGAACATTTAAAAAAGTAACACGAAGAAGTGACGTTTACTGTTTCTGTTGATTATCGTCTTCGCATTTCGCATGAAATGAAACATGAGAATATTTCCATGAAAAGGATGATGAAAACTATGAAGAAAGCGATGATGATGAAGACGAAGTATGTGTATCTCAGGCAGAAGATGATACCGAACAAACTTTTGTTAAGATGGACCTGTATGTTGTTGATGTAAAGGAGGAGGAGCTGGTAACAAAATTTCTGTCAAAAGATTGTTGTAATAATGAATGCCATACACTGATACGACGGGAAATGATCGAGAGTACGCGGAACAATTGTTTAGAGATGTCGAAAAATGAACTTGATTTAGTGATACTAAGTCACATCGAAGCTGGAACTATGAGTAACGAAAAGCTAGAAAGTGTATACGCAAAGCTTGCTGGGCGGAAGAAATATGGACAGAGACAGGATACAGAAGTTATGAGGCATAGAATTCAATTTACCTTCTACAGAGTACCTGTTTGTCGTTCGTTTTTCCTTTTTGTACATGCCTGTACGACGAAGCGTTACGAAAATTTAGTACGTCATTTTCACGCACAGGGTGTAACAGTGCGCCAGCACGGACTGGCAAATAAACCGAGTACACATCCAAAGTCATTTAAACCGGCTGACATCGAAAAAGCTGTTAAATTCATCGAGTCTATAGCCGATTTAATGGCTCTTCCACTGCCCGGACGACTCCCAAAATTTAAGGATTTTCGGATAATGAAACTGCCATCCAGCGAGACGAAGTCCTCAATTTATCGAAAATACATTTCTTCACTCAGTGATGACGAATTGAAGATGAGTAATTGCAGTTTTCGACGGATATGGTCCAAATACATACCCCATGTTACAGTTATGAAACCAGCGGATGATCTCTGCGGTGTCTGCCGTGGTAAGTAGCTCATTATTTTCTCATTTTATAGTTGCATCAAACATTGAGATTAAATTCAGTATTTTTTCTTTTAATAGGAAACACAATATCGATTGCGCAAGCCAAAGGTGTTACTGACATTGAACGCGCACAGAAGCTTAATCAATTTCTTGATCACCTCCACCGAGCCCGAAATCAACGAGAATATTATCAAAGTTGGTGTAGAAATACAGACCCTACAGCAGTCGTTCTGTCATTTGATTTTGCCCAAACCGTTCACTACCCTGTCAGTCCACAACAACCTGGTACAGCATACTTCAAACAGACGAAAAACAAAAAGTTCAGGTTAGAATTTCAAACTGAATCATAGGAACTCAAATTGCTCGCCTTTACAGGATCTTACTTATATATATTTTTTTTTACAGTACAATTACATGATAGACGAAAAAGATGACGTTGGTAAAGGACCTAACTGTGTTGTGAGCATCCTGCATTATCACCTGCAAACCTACTATAAAGACATTGAAACACTCGTTCTTTTCTGTGACAATTGTGTTGGGCAGAATAAGAATAACACTGTACTATCATATCTGCAATGGTGTTTGGCTCGGGGTCTTAACAAAACTATTTTATTAAATTTTCTACTTACCGGGCACACTAAGTTCGCGCCTGATCGTTACTTCGGTATTTTCAAAAGTAAGTATGCCGTCAGTAACATCGACACGTATGCAGATTTACTGCAGTGTGTCGAGGCATCATCACCTGGGGGTTATAATAAAGCTGTATCGGCTGAAAAAGTCGTCTGGTATGAATGGGACAGCTATTTTAAACCACTGTACAAGTCACTTGTTGGAATAACGCAATTCCATCATTTCATAATCTCTACAGATTGTGTAAAAACAAAGAAATTCGCAGACAGTGAAGAAGTGCAGTCCTTTAAGCTTCTGTTAAAACCTATCGATCCTGAAATGCCGAAAGTTATACAACCAGCCGGTTTATCTTTAGAACGTCAGTGGTACATCTATCACAATCTTCGCAGCTTAGTTTCGGATATATCTAAAGTAGATATTGTGGCTCCATTGCCGAAAGATTTGCCATCGAAGAAACGGAAGGCAAAAACTAGTGAAGATGTTCTCAAACCAGACGAGGAACCAGGTCCATCTTCCTCAGGATCAACACGTAAAAAGATCTCAAGGAAAACGACAACAAAGAAAAATACATAAACTACTCAGCATTATTATTTTTGGCCCATAATACGTTTTTCTAGTGTATAATCATGTCTTTATAGCTTATAATTCAATGTATTTTGTTCATTACCAATAAATTATATTTTGTCGTATTTTTACTCTTCTTTCTCTACATTTTTAGTACACTTCTAAGCAAGTTAGGATTTTCTGCTTTTCACCACGTGAAAAAGCATCTCATCTTCCATCCGAATCAACCAAAAAGTGAAAATTGATTTTTTGACACCTAAGCCCCCTTTCCGTAGACCAGGTCACATATAATAATATTGTATTTGAATATAAATTAACTGTTGAATTGGTATTTAGAAATTTTAAATTTAATTATATAGAACCATAGATTTATTAGAAAAACTTCAGCGTTTATTAGAATATAATATTATTTTATATGAGAATTATTTATGAAAAAAGGTTTATTCATAAATCGTTAGTCGTTGACTTTTAGTAAGAGGAGATCGAGGGATTAATCTACTGGACACTGCTTGTAGAGAACATGATATATCATATTTATATAATAAAGATTTAGATAACCGACATATTGCTGATAAAAAATTAATTGAGAAGGCTTGGGAAGGAGTTAAAGCGAAGGATAGCAATCTTAATGAGAAAACAAATGCTTGGTTAGTTACAAATATAATGAAGACAAAAACGAAATTCGGTATGGGGAACATTTATAGTAAAACTAAGAAAGTGGGAGGAAAAACTGGTTATCATCTCTTCAAACATGCATTAAAAAGTGCTAAACAAAATTTAAAGAAAGGTGATAACTTAAAAAGCGCAATAAAGATTTCACGAAAGGTCGTAAATAATATTTTTAGAGGAAAAAAATCTATAATAAAAGCACCACGTGTAATACCATTACCTAAATCTGGAGGGTTTCTCCCATTAGCGCCTTTATTTGTGGCATTAGGAACACTTGGAAGTCTATCTGGTGGTACAGCAGGAATTATTAAAACCATCAATGCTATAAAAACTGGGAAGGAGCATGTATCGGATTTCTCGGATTTCTATCAGCGGTACAGCCTGTGATCGGTTCCGGTTCTGGACTGGGATTTGTCATCAGCGACATCTTGCGGCTTTTATCTGGGTTCTTCTCTGGGTTTATCTTGGATTTTGATCGGCGACATCTTTTGACGGAGCAGCAAAGCTTGCGGCAGAGCACCAGCAAACCTTATAGCGGTTCTGAAACCGGCGGAGCAGCAAACCATAGTTGTGTTTTTTTACAAATTATACAGTAACTTGCCAGCAACTCTCCAGTAACTTTATTTCTAAAAATTCGCTCTCATAGAAAAAATTTCCAAAAAAGTACGTGAACGCTTTTCCAGTAATAATTTGCAAGTTTCATGAACAGCTGATAAATTGGTTGTGTATTCGCAGCAAATTCCTAATAAAACAATATATTTTATATTTAAATAGGTTTATTTTGTGAAACTCACCAATAAAAACCCACAAACAGTTTCCTTATTAGTTTAAATTTCATCCAGCAACATGCGACCAGCTGTTTTTCGTACTGGCAAATTCTTACAGGTAAAAATTTATCCAGTAAAATCCAGTAAAAATTTGCAACTTCAACTGTCATTTTTCGCTCTCAATTTCCCCTACTTTGCAAGTTTTTGCATACGAAAACGCCAAAACATGAAAATTCGTAAAAACTTTTACTGGATTTTACTGGAAATGAGTAAAAAACGCAACTCATATAGTGCTAGCAGCGCTGCTCCACCGGTTCCAGAACCGCTATATTTATACTACTTATGCGTGAAATGTGAGATGCCACAATGTTACACTTTCCCCCTTTTAATTGTTCATGTTACAATTATTTACATTATAATAAGATATCTTATATACTCTTAACTTAATTTCAAGCTTAATTATTATTTTTATTTCTATTTCTCAAATTGTATTTTTTGTACAGTTTTCATTAGTGTCCTTAGTTTCGTTAGATTTTGAGCATCTCTCCCTACTATCAAGTATTTCATTTCCGGAGTGTTTAACATTATTTTTCTCGTTTTGATTTTCAGTTGCTGTAATAGGATTTTCCGGTATTTGATTCAACTTCTCCGGCAAAATTTTATATGTACAATCTCCTAAAATACTAGATACATAATTTGGATCTTCGTCCTGCTTAAATTTAGTTATTTGTCTTATATGTCTTTTCCAAGTTTTGTTTGCATTAATCGGTTAAACTAAATACATTTGTTTCTCAATTTGTTTAATTATTGAACATTTAGACCATGAAACCTTACCCGGAATGGAGTAATTTTTTGCTAAAACCATCCCTCCGGCCTTAAGCTCGACTTTGTTAGCACCGGAGTAATATTTCTTTTGGTTTGCTTGTTTTCTTAAAACGTTTTGTTGCACCCAGTCTCTAGATTTCTCTTCCACTTTTCGCTTGGGGTTTATTATATCTAATCGCGTTTTCAGCTGCCTGCCGAACATAAGCTGAGCTGGCGAAACTCCTGTGCTTGTATGCCTCGTGTTTCTGTAATCTAATAAAAATCTACAAATTACGTTCTTAAACTGCGAAGCATCCGCAGGATACAAATTCTTTTTTAAAGCGTTTTTCATCGTTTTAACCAAGTTCTCCGCTTGCCCGTTTGTAGCAGGATGACTCACTGGTCTTGTGATATGTGTGATTGCATTTAGGTCAACAAAGCGTTTGACTTCTTTCGACACGAATGCGGTACCATTGTCTGAAACGATTTCTTGTGGCAACCCAAACCTAGCAAACAATTCCCTCAATACGGATATAGTTGCGGTGCTTGTTGTATTTGTTCCCATGTCCAAACACTCAGCCCACTTGCTATAACTATCAACGACTACCAAGCACCAGCGTTTACAAAATGGACCAAAGAAATCTACGTGTATACGATACCAAGGTTGTTTCGGCCAGTCCCATTGTATTAACTCTTTTTTCTTTGGATTAGGGCGGTTCATCAAACATGGCTCACAACCTTTTACTAAATTTTCCAAATCCTTGCTCTGATTTGGCCACCAGCAGCACTCTCTAGCCATTGACTTAATTTTACAAATTCCCATGTGAGTCTCATGCAAGAAGTTAGCTAGCCTGTCTCTAAGTACTTCCGTTATCACTATTCTGTACCCCCAAAACACGCAACCGTTTTCATCCGACAACTCCAGTCTACGTACGAAAAATGGTTTTAACAAGGGGTCAGTGATTTTATTGGGCCACTTTGTCCGAATATAAATGCTTACTTGTTTTAAAACCTTGTCTGACAATGACTCCTTCCTTATCAATTCCGCGTTCACCGGTGTGGAATTTACTTCCTTGAAAAAATTAAGTGCTACGTTATCAATGAGTTCAACCGGTTCGTTTGCTGTTCCTGAAGGATTTCTAAAAAAAATTGTCTGCGATGTTCTCATTCGATTTAACATGCTTTATCTCAAAATCATAACCCGACAGGGTTATTGCAATGCGTTGTAAACGATTAGCTGCAAAGACCGGAATTCCCTTCTTTGGGTTTGAAAATGTACTGCAATGGCTTATTATCGGCAACCAACGTAAAATGTCTACCGTATAAATAATGATAGAATTTCTTAATTCCAAACAAAATTGCTATTGCTTCCCTGTATAGTTGCGAGTAGCGCATTTTCGCACTGGACAATTTTCGTGAAGCAAATTCAGTAGGTAGCTCGAGACCATCCAACGATATTTGCGACAAAATTGCGCCCAGTACCACTGGACTAACATCCACGGTTAACTTGGTTACATACCCGGGGTTAAAGGGCGCTAAACATGTATCTGCTTTCAACCCACCCTTTAAGCAATCTACTGCTTCCTTACACTCCGCTGTGAAATTAAACTTTTCCCCCATTTTCAACAACTTGTATAATGGGGTACATGTGTACGCTATGTTAGGTAGGAATTTTCTGTAAATTTACACTACCCCCGGAAATGCTTGTAACTTAACATTACTAGGATAAGGCATATTTTCGACCTCTTTCACTTTATTAGGGTTCGTAAGCAAACCGTGCTTATCAATTACGTGCCCCAGATACGTTATTTCTTTGGCGAAAAAACTCGCACTTGTTTAAAGTTAATTTGAACCCAGCCCTTTGCAATACGTGCAGCACTTTTTTCTACTCGCTCAATATGCAATTTCTTTTGGGATCCGTAATTAGAATGTCGTCCAAAAATACAACGGTGCCGTCCAAGCCCATGAGTAAACCCCCCATAAT